AGTTCGACAACCGTGGTCTCAGAACCATAGCTTGTGTAAGTTGTTGTTGGAGAATCCGTAGCGAGGCAACGAGAACCTCCATTGGAGAATGTGTCAAGCATTAGAAACTGAGTTAATTAGGCAATGCATTGTTTATGCCGAAACATCGTTTACTGGGGATTGTTTTTCGTGCCTCATTCGGAGTGGTGGAAGCAGAGGTGGCCAAACCTTGATCTCGCAAAGGGGTATGAAATATATTGCGAGACGTTTTGGTGCTATCCGCCTTCCAGGACGGGGACAGCGTGATCCCCATGGCGCCTGGTTGTAAACACTGCAAGATATAGCTGCTAATCGATGACAGTGGCGTTCTTGCTACCAGTTTCTATCTATATTGACTGCATGGTGTCTGGGGGTTTAGGCACGTCGCAACGATTGTAGTAAGCTAGGATTAGGTTCCTTCCACACACTATTATTCTCCTCTTTGGATTTAACTGAATGAACCGATGTAACACTCTTTCAGGACCTAGCTGGCATGCCACCTGAAGGAAGCACTAGAGCTGGGATACTGACAAATTGCTCAAACCTAGAGAGAAGTGAAGATGCAGAGGTCGGGTTCGGACCACGGACCCTGCGGTCAGTCAATTCTAAACGCTCAACCATCTCGCCCTAGTTCAACTCTGAAAGAGTTATGGTCATACCTTCACGGACCACTTAGAAGTCGTGACTGGGGATTTCATATTATAATAATTCGCTTAGGTGTGTGTCTTTGTTATACGTATTGGCACCAGGTAGCCTACAAAGTCCGAGAAACGGGGATGATCGTTATCGCAGTTTAAGGGTCTATTTGGTTGAGGCTGTCTTTTCAACGATCTCGAGTCTGGACGTATACGACTGCGAAGCAAAATTTTCTAAAAGTGACGGGGATATGCATTGTTTTTTAAACAACTATCCAATAAAGCGACAGGTGTTCGTTTCAGCAAAGCTAAAACGAAATCGTTAATAACGACTCAAAGGATATAGGCAAGTACGTGGTTCACGCATCGGACTCACGGTCAAATTCAGGACACAAATTGACTGGTCTCACCCTCCGGAGGAAAGTGGACATCCATGTCGGACACAAATGCTTGTAGGAAAGCTTTTGGAGAATTTCCCATACACTTTCACTCATCCATAAGTATGTGAAGACAAACAGCGCGTGACATTCATGAACTTCGGTGGTATGCCCTAACCGGTTGACAAAACCAAACGAATTCCTGAAGATTGCGAGCCCAGCCACGAAGCTTTTCGGTTCGCGCAGATACTCTGTTCACCAGAAGTCTGATAGCTCCTTCTCCTCGCGACCAGGAGGAATATGCACCCAAGCTGCGGGCAATTTTTGAGTATTGCTCGCGACCCAGTGCTTAAATCTAGTTGGTTGAACCATTCCACAGGCGGAGCACGCAGCACCTTGGAGGATCGAGGACAGTACCCTCTAGTAAGCATCAACATCAGAGGACACGTTGTCCGAAAGGGACTCCAGTAGGTGGTTCTGGTAAACTTGGTTCACATCTGGCTCCAAGGGCTTCTCAATGGCCAGATAGTGTGCACATCTCGCGCGCCCCTGAAAAGTGCAACGAGAAGCACCAACGAACAAGTGCGTGATCAGAATCCCCTAAGTGTTCCAGAACAATAGTCAATTGACCCGCGCCACACATCTAACGGCGGTGTGGTCTATGTGTTGGAGGTCGCCTCACATGCGGGGGCACCATGTGGCTTGGTTGTTTCGGAAGTCACTACTGCACAGAACTAGTCTGTGGGTAGCACAGAAACTGAGTGTATTGGTTCGAAAGCTGATTTCCAGGTGTCTGCAGCCGTGACGGCCGAATATTGCATGCGGCAGCAATCAGTAGCAAACGGGCCTGTCAGTGCCTAAGAATGGACCTACGGAAATATCGCTACTAAAGGGGAAGGGAGACCTCAGCAAGTCTGTTTTCGCCTACCAGTCCCACTTTGTGCAGCACCACCCGGCGATGGCAGATGGCGTGAGATTATTTGTAGGTAATTCGTGGTTGTACGTCGCTGAGATACAGCCAATACGCCCAAATCTAGAAGGGAGAACGATTGGGGTCCTCAACCAAATCCTTTGGTTCAAGGGCCTAGGAAGCGGCGTTCGGCAGGAAATGCAAGTGCACTACCATTTTTATAGAGCAAGTCGCCACACATATTCTAGCCTCCAATCTGGAGGACCAAGAACTATGATAGCCAGGCCTCTACCCATTGACCAACCTGGTTTGAGAGTTTCTGTTAGTGTCACATGTACACCCTGCGTACAGCTCAATGGGTTATGGAGATGCACGTGTCGTCACACTGCGGTGGCACCAGGCCTCCAGAAAAAAACGGTCCTCTCAGAGATCCAATGTTTGGATGGGGTTAGCTGAGTTGTACTGCAGTTCCGGCAATGAGTAAACGCAGATATCTGCGTCTAGCGAACATTAACAGCTGACATCGGGTCAGTCGCCAAACGCTGGATGAGCCGATTATAAACGGTGACAGGGCTAATGGCACCATGCAACGGCCGATGCGACACAACAATAATTTAGTTGTGAAGTTCATGGATGCTGAAACTGTCATGGAGCTCAGATCCAGCTAGGAAGACGATTAGCATCCACAGTCAAAGCCCGAAAGCCTAGCCTCAAGCCTGCAAATGGCCCCGGCATTTCACTGCAGCAGCGCAACTTTTTAGCGAACAAATCACCGTGTCTGTTTCAAACCTAACATGGAGAACTAAGAGACGGTGCTCCTTACACCAGGAAACCTGGTGTAAGAATCTCCGTAGGTATCAAACTGAACCCCCCGCCCTCTAGTATAGCTCAGTGGGTCATTGAGATGCACATTCCGCCAAAACGTGACAAGGTCCAGTTCCTTCGCCCTGAATGAATGGATGCATCGACCAGGTCTTCACCTTGAGACATGCGCCCAAACAACACCACCCTTCCAAACGTCCAGCGACGGCCATTTTTTCTGACCTGACTGCTGCTTTCGACTTATCGACCGTCGAAAACCGTCGCGATTGCCGACGATCATAGGAAACCTTTCTGAATTTTTATCCTTTATAGTTGTACTATATGCGAACTCCTGTAGGCGCTGTCCTAGGCTGTCCCTAGAGTTCACCACATCGTCGTATAAGACAAAACTACCCCATCTCACCATCTGTTTTCAACCTCTTTATTGACCTGCTGCCTGAAACTTCTTTGTCTCTGAAACCTCGGGGCATTCGCCCGCATAGAAGATATTCCCTAGATTAAACGCAATCAGTCTAAATAACATAAACAACTTTACAGCACGGTTCCATATGCGTTTCACATTATCATCAGTATCGATCGAACAGCATCAGTATCCAACAGTGATGCTCCGCTGCCATACAATCAAAATTCATCTCAAAGCCTTGTCGTCAAGAAAACAATAAAAAGTATGGGAGACAGGACTTAATGATAGTCTACAATCATGCAGAGGTGCCTACGCCTGCAAACACTCCGTATAAGCTGACAAGTTAAATTAGTCTGACCTTCTTGTCCCGTAAACTGCGACTTTAAAGTCTTTTGTATTTCTACTGAAAAATCCCTATACGGTTTTGCATCATGCACCGCGGCGAAATAACGTGTCCCAGAACGGAAAGTCCCCCAGCCACTGACGTCAAATGCTGGACAACAACGATCTGAATCCACCTGGTCAGTGAGAAAACCAGATTAGGAAGGTGAAAGTATTACTACACATGAAAAGGTTTCCAGCAAGAGGCTTGCAGGTAGGTTTTCATCTCTCTTTGTCAAGGATGACTGGAGAGAAACAAATGATTGAAGCAACATCTACACTCAGAGAAACAGCGAACATCTTCAAGAACGTTCGAATGAAATTAGGATATATAGATGAGCACTTTCTCACAAATTGCAGAGTCCATTCTGAGTCTGTTTAAGAGCAGAAAAGCATCCATTATGTCTAAACAGAAACACACGAGACGACTGATCCTTCATAAAATCGCAGTGTCGCACATTGAAAAAGTTCGACTTCGCAGCTGAATGAATCATCTTTGGTCCTAAATATCTAGAAGGTATTGCACAGGTTGACGATCATAGGATTTAAACATGTAAATATATAACGCGTAAAATAACTGTCAGTATGCATAGACAGACGCTTCTGATTACCAGCAATCAGAGTACTTTGGACGAAAACTGGGCTGGGGGAGTATGTTCTGTGCGGGCAGGTGTGGTTATGCAAGTGAGATACAAATGGGTTCGACCACAAGGGTTTCAAGCGTTTTAATCGATACTAGATATGACCCAACAACCCGACACTGGTTTCAGCCACATAAATGAGTCGAGTTTGTATCCACTTGGGTAAGTTCGATTACTTTCTGAAAACAACTAGGAAAACTTCAACAGAGTTTGCATCTTGATGCGCGTCAAGTGATGGGCTTCAAGAATCCGCTGTTCAAGTTGGATAAAAAAGGTCCTTTTGTCCTCGGACTAACTTGCCTTGCAACAGTCGTTGTTGCCGAGGCAAGTGCCGTAAGATTGCGTCAGTCTACACAGTATCGAGAGAAAGACCTTCGTTCGCTTAAAATCCCGTCGTCGTACCCATCCAACCACGTACCGTCGCTCCTGACTTGCATATATTCCGAATCGGCTGTTTAATTGCGTCAGTACGGGGTCATTCGGTTATTATCGCAATTTCTTAACACCACATATTTGGATCTTTGGAATCCCGTAACTGTGTGAGGATATCACGTGTCACTAGATGGCAGTTTACGGTACATTACGCGCATTTTACCTGGGCCAAACAGGGTTGCACTCATAAAAATTGAAGGTTGCTGACCAGCAATTTACCTCAGCTCCATTCCTTACATCGTGACACCTTTCGGACGCGGCAACTCATCATTGTAATCATTATTGACATCAACACCAGAACAAGTTCTTATAAATTTGCATTTACAAACTGTTTAGGCAAATGAAGAGATAAATCAAATATTAACAAACGAGACAAAAATCAACTGACTGAAGTTATCTACATGGCAGACCGCTTTAACTTCGAGGAGTCACCACGACAAAGAGGGCAATACCATTTGCCTTTAGGTTGCACACGTATATCCACACAAGCGAAATGGAACCATTCCACTTCGCAGTGTTTGTTATCGCATGCAATCATATCCCCAAAGGATACCTTTTTGCACAAACAATAAAGACGCTCGTCAGTACTCTCATCGCTGGTATTTCCACTGGGACTTCGGTTGGGTAAGGTGCTGCGGCGTTTGGAAGCCCCAGCTTGATCCGTCGGGGGAACGTAGCGTGTATTCGGATCAGGTGAAGGCCGAATCGCTTTGGGATCTTGTCTGCAACGAGGCATATGCAAATCACGTCGCTTAGATAGAATCCCATTACCGTGAGAATAAGAACGAGAGACCAGATTTCGATGTACGCCCGTGTTTGGGGAATTTAGCAGAAGGGATGATTGTGCCGCAATACGTTCTGTTCGGGCTTGGTCGTAACTAGCCGGGATCTCGTCTGATTTACGCAGCTGGGTTATGCGACGGCGACCAGTTTCACAGAATCGTTTCCGGTTAGTAACGTTGCTAGCGGCTGGGGAAGCCATTCGTGATCTCTGGTCTTTGCTGTAATATGGCTTTATCTCACGCATTGGAAGTGATGCACCTTCAGGGTCATTCTCGTCAGTGTGCTCACTGTCAAGCTCTTCTGATGAAACGACGCTGTCCTTTGCCCAACAGCTGGCGAAATTTGGGTCGACCATACGAGTTCCACTGTTTCTGCGCGATTGGATACCACCTTCTGTTTCATCATTCTCATTATCACTGGATACATTACTGGCTGAACGCGTGTTTGGATCAGTTTCCGGGTCAAAATATTCCGCCTGTAGATCGCTCCAATCATTACGGCCAGAGGAGCGAGAATTGCCGGTAAAACGCGAAAGCTTGGACTCCAAGCGTCGACCTGTTGCTAGGTAATGTGGACCCGTCTCCGCAGATGACAGACGATTGCGTCGAGAAGATGGATCCGTGTAATGGATGCTGCGGTTTCGATTAGCTTGAAGTGCGCGTGAAATAGCCCGCTGTTGTTTTTTCAACCTCTGCTGCTGTTGCACGCGTGAGTAAAGAGGGTAGGGTCCGGGTAGCTTGTGATACCTTTGTTCTGTATTCATGCGGTCCCCTGTTCGTTCTTTCATGCGTTCCTTCATAGAATTCAAACTGGGTTTATGTGATTTGTTGCTGACTGCCCGCCTCTGCTGTCCGTTCTCCCACCTACTGAGAGGGGCACGCATTACAGAAGACCGGCCAAGTTGAGGTCCAGAGCGTAACTGCAACCTGGCCTTACTTCTAAGCGTCGTAACACCGCGACTTTCAGTTTTGTTGTTTTCTTGAACGGGATCTTTCTGACGCACATCGGATTGACAAGGCCTGGATGCATCGTCCGGTTCCTCTGTTTTATCTGTATCCAACTCTGTGTCGAGTTCGCTTTCGTCATTGTTTTCGCCGCCAGATGCGCATGACTTTGGTGTATCTGCATGTGCCTTGGGTTGTAAGTTCAGAAGTTGTTGTGTCTTCTTTTCCAGCAAGCTGTGGAGCTGAAAACATAATAAAAAGGTGTCAGCTATTCGAACGAAGTCTTCATAGGAATAGAGATAACAAAAAAATACTGGGAAAAATAGCGGCTTAAACCTTCTTGAGAAAGAACCGAACGGGACTGAACGATTTTAGGGACTGCACTGAAGCCACCAATTCGTGGCTAAAACCATTATTTGAGAAAGTACCAAACTCAACTGTGGGAGCTTGTGCACTTCCTCGCTCTCAACTTGTGGTTTGGATGGCTGCCCTTCACTCATCAATCAAACAAATTCACACACAGTAAAAAAGCAGTAAGCCTTCCCTCTCCGGAGCTTCTAACTGCTGCAGGTATTGTTTGAAATTTGGGCACTCATTCCAAACGGAGGAAGCCACACAACTAAGAGAAAGTTGTCTTCCACCGAACAAATTTTAACGAAACTCGTTGTTCCCCCACCACAGGTAATCATTCAGCTGTAACACCCTTTCGGTGCATAGCTGGCGTGCCACCCAGGGGGAGCACGAGGACTGGGATACTGACAGGTTGCCCAAACCTAGACATGGGAAGCCGAGAGGCAGAGATCGGTTCCGGACCACGGACCTTCCGGCAGTAAATTCGCACTGTAACCACTAATCCATCCCGTCACAGATGGTTCGTTTAGTAAACACCGGCAGAAAAAGATCACAGCATAAATCATGCATACCATATACACATTATGTCGAATATTTTATTTATTATGTTATATAACATCCACAATGACAAGCGATAGCCCGTCTGCCTGAAGTATGACGGAGATTTACAAGCGCTGCGCGATTTATGGTATTGGTATTGTCTAGCCCATTTTTGAGTCTAGCGATACTTAATGTCATGACTATATAAAACATACTTTTAATACAACATTAACCGCTAATTATCACTCTATATTTCCAGCGCTTAGACGAGTAAAGCATATATTACGCCATTCTATTCTCTCTTCCTTCTAATCTCGACCTAGGACCGCTCAGCTCTCGCAACAATAGGCTCCACACATATCCTGAATTCACTTTAAAAAGGAAAAATGACCGGATCAACCAGAACCTTTCCCTCGTGTTACAAACACTTTCTTAACATAGCCCATTGTAAGCATGCCGGAAACTTGACAGCACTGCCTGTTTCGCCCTTCTTAGAGTCCACCACAAAGGCGGCTTGCTTCACCTGAAAGGTGCGAACGAAAAAATAGCGTGGCGCTACTTTCTGGGTTCTCAGAGTTGTGTAGTAATTGAGCGCTCACCATACTGTTGTGCGTAAAGTTGCACCTGGCTCTGAGAATTCAGCTTATGGGAACAATCAGAAGAAAACAATCAAACGACCAGTGAACAAACACAATGATGAGCTTATAACCAGCCTTTCTACATGTATCATACGTTGGTCGGAACACTTCGAACAATAACTTAACCTCCCCCACGTATTCTCATCTGCACCCTGAAAAGCCATGTGCGCACCGCGGACCCTCAGTGCAAATCTGTCAGTCTAACTCTACAAACCGTGTCTGAATTCCGTGAGCAAAATGATAATGCCGAACGATACATGGCATCAGGCCCAGATAGACTTCCTCCAGCACTGTTCAAAAAAGGGACTGTGCTCATAAACCTCTGTTTTTGTTTAATCTCGTCAACGAGGCCAACAATGGGAGGTATCCAAAAGTCCGGTGCTCAGATCTCCCTGAACGTGAACCTGGAACATGCAGACGACATTGTTCTCGCCTTATAAAAAGAGCAGGAAGCATAAGTATTGCTACACGCCGGTTCCTCGGCGTGTGTTTCGCGCCCACAAAGTGTAAAGCCATGCCGCGCGATGTAGTCTTTGAACATGTCTCTCCAAATTTAAGGATTGACACTGAAAGTTGTGGACCGCTACATATATCTCGGGAGTTGCATTAGATCTGACGGTAGTATGCCAGACGAAGTCAAAAGTACTTTCGAAGCCACAAACTCTCTAATACAGGGTGGAATTACATTAAAATTTGACGTCGTGAATGCAATATGTGCGCACATATTTAAATACGTCCTAGCTTACGGCGATTTGTCACCATTTGTCACCTCAATCGGAGTCGACAAGTTCACTCACTGTCTCTACTTACATCCAATTTTAATACTGGTGACTTTTCCAAGAAAACTTGGATACACCTACTTATGGTAGTGCTGCGCTGCTACCATTATGATTCCCAATAAGTGTTTGTAGTGATTAACCGTTTAACGGAACCCCCTCCACGACAGATGTATGTCCTTTGGACCCAGCTGTTTATGCCACAGGCAAAAGTATCTACCTTAAAATCAAGTTGTGTAGATAATGCAGACTGTGGGTCATTCCGGCCCGCCAAATTGTCCTAACATAGCCAATGTCACCTGAGTAGACCAAGACCCCATTGTTCGACTGACCCGTCATGTAAAAATTTGACATCACAGCAGAAATTTGAGTTTGATGAAGAATGTGCCTTGTCCCCAAATAGTAGTACGGTCCTCTGCACCCCAGTCAATTAGGAGGGATAATATCGAGGCATCTAACAGAAAGGTTTTGTGTCTATGTGGAAAACACCCCGATCGCCAAGACGGAGGAGGGTTCACTTGGAGGTCTCCACACGGAGCTTTTGATGGACTGTGACCCCTTATACAACAGAATGAAGGGGTTAGAAGGTCCCCTGTAGGTAATGAGCGGGCTGCAGTTCATATGCCCTTGGATAGAGGTCAGCTATCTATAATGGCCGGCACACACATCGATCCATACTTCTACCAGTATCTTCCCTGATGCGTCTGAGGAATCACCAGGTGAGACTGCATCAGTGTTGCTTCGAAGTCAACCTTCAGTAATCTGTTCTGTAGAAACAATTAAGTCTATCAACTAGCTTAAAGTGCCGGACACCCTTTTTCACCTAATTCCCTGTTATGGACTTATGTATTCTATCACCGATTCCGAACGTCTTTAAAATGACATTGATCGGTTTCATCGGAAATAAGTGTGAAGTTTAAGGTTTAAGGTTCGAAGTTTAAGGTTTTATCCTTGCAAGGCGGCAGAACTTATTTTGATCGTCCTCGGAACCACGTTCTACCATCAGCCAAGAGGAGAATTTTGGAATCACTATCCAAAAAGATCTCGGCGATTAAACCAACTGCACCCATACTACGCGGGCGGCAGGCACTAAATAGGCTCACGGAGGGAAATTTTAAAAAAGCTTATTTACACAAGGCATATTCACCAATGTGCTGCAGAGCCACTGTATAGTGACTTAGATGTAATATTCAGAGAACCGAATACTAACAGAGGGACGGGACAAGCTTTCCATATATTTTTCCCATTCCTTGCCCTGAGGGACTGCAAACTCCAAGGATTATGTACATAAAGGTAAACGGTGATATTATTAAATAATCGAACTGTACAGCTGTAGCATCCTTTCTTCACCTAAATAATAATAACAATAAGAATAGTAATAATAATCGTTCAGCTGTAGAACCCTTTCGGTGCCTAGCTGTCATGCCACCCGAAGGAATCATCATCAAGGACAGCAACATCAGTGTTGCCACTGCCGTACAAGCCTAGACAGAATCAGTCGAGATGTTGAGGATGGGTTCCAACCAAGGACATTCCGGTCCGTAAACTGGCGCCTCAACCAGTGAGATATCTCAAGCCCACTACTACGACGTATCAGATCATCACAAACCCTAATCAGGAATATCGATTACTTCGTAATATTCGTGGTCACACACACGTCAACATGGAGCGCTTTTTGTCGATCGTTATCATCGAGGCTTTCTATGTCAGTGTTCCAATACCATCGGGGTAAGTATATTTATTTATTTTGTGTGCACAAGCATACCAGCACATGCAAATCATCCTACTCACACGGGTAATGTTTTATGAAACGTATTCTTACAATAAATTAGTGTTTCAAAGCAAAGGCGATAGACGAAGTGAATAAGACGTTGTGGGCTTCCGACGTCCATCCCGTCTAACGGAAGAGAAATCGGGCTGAGACTGAACCCTACGTGGTGTGTCACCAGTAATCGGTCCTAGAGGGCGGGGTCTTCCGGTAGTATGACTGCTCTCTAAAATAAATGGACCGTTCAACTGTAACAACCTTTCGGTGCCTAGCTGCCATGCCATCCGAAAGAAGCACGAGACATGGGATACTGCCAAGTTGCCCAAGCCTAGACAGGGGAAGTCGAGTGGCAGAGATAGGGTTCGAGCCGCGGCCCTTCCGGTCAGTAAACTCGCGCTCTAACCACTGGGCCGTCTCGCCTCCGCCTCCCCTTACGGCCACGAAAAGACGACAAAAAAAAAGAAAAAAGCTTCAGAAAACTAGGCTACACATAGTAATACCAGTGTTCAGTTCATCTTGCGAGGCATTTAGTGCAATAATCTCCTTCAAGTGTTGGTATGGTATCAACGGGTAGGCTTATCAGGTACATGCCTCAGGGGCATCTGCAGCAAAGCTCACCAACAAGAGTTTCGGCAAAACACAATCATAGAACACTGGCACTTCAACACACTATAAGTGTCGATTTATGTGAACACAGCTCCGTAAAGAAAAAGGGAGATAAGAGAAAAGGGCCTAGTGATAACCCATCACAAACACTTCATCGCCTGAACAAAAACCAATCAACACTACCGAGCCACCAATAGCCCCCACCTCTAAAATTCGATCAGACAATCTGAACATCATCATCATGGACAGCATAACATCAGTGTTGAACACTGATGCTTCACGGCCGCACAACCATAAATTATTTGAGTCCCATTGCGAACGAGAGAATGAAATTAGATGGGGAAAAAGAGAGAAATCAATCAGTCAATCAATTTATCAGCTATATACCATGTGTCATAGGTAAAATGGTTCCAGCTGCTAAAGTTTCGATCACCGGAAAGTTTGAAAGTGTGGGACATACAGCCAAGCCTTGAAAGCGATGGTATATTTGTTTAGGTCGGGAACTGGTTAGTTATGTATTGAAGGCGATAGCCTTGATGCGTGAGTTCAATTGACTGCGCGATTGGACCATTTCTGCCAGTGTCAAAGAGCGAAACTGGTCGTGAGTTGTTGGTAGGCTTTTAGCAGCCTTTGTTCCATCAGGAAAATACATTGTTATGTCTCGAACATCGTACTAACTGAAAATGAGACGGCGTTTGAGTGCCATATCTAGTTGAAGGATACCACAAACAGAGATTCAGCTCGGATTCAGCTAAGCCTTCCATTTTTAAACGAGTGTATTTCCCAATGTTGCCTCTTGTGTTAGCGTCAAAAATATGTTATGACCGAAGCTTCGCATAGAGAATCAGTCATTCATGTGCACGCGTTACATGTAGACCTGGATGCCAGTCCTATAAAAGTATCGCATTACTATGCAAGAGCTTTCTTTTATGAGGTAAAAGTACAGCTCCAACAAGAAGTTGCATTTTCAGGCTTGATCATCCCGGAGAAACTCAAATTCGTCATTAGTACGATAATGGAAGACCCATTACATATTCTAATGCCTGCAGGGTCGAATTGCTCACAGGCCATTCTCTCACAGATATCGAGTACGCAGATGATATAGATCTTCTTGGATCTGACACCGTGGCAATGCAAACAATATTAAATAATCTAAGTAATTCTATATCACGGTTTTGCGTGTACTTCACAACTCCGCTGTGACAAGACCGGGTGGGCCCGAACCCCAGTCTCATTTTTGCAGACGAACCTATTGAGGTAGTAGACACAATCGTTTACCTGGGTAGCTGTATCAGTCCCGGTGGTCTCGCGAAAGATGACATTTTTACTCGGGTTGGGAAAGCCAGAGCAGCATTTGTGAACCTGCATCACCTGTGGCATAGGCGTGACATCAGCTTACCCGAAAATGGTCGAGTTTAAAATGTTGAGGTAAGCTCCATATCATTATACGGATCAGAAATCTGGTCGCTACATGCCGACGTCAGACTTTCGGTGTTTAGCAATCGATGTATTCGGAGCATTGCCCGAGTCTGCTGAGAACACCAAGCCAGCAATCCCGGCGTACACCGGATGGTTTTCGGAAGAAATAACTCGCCCACAATAGATGAATCGATCACACTTCACAGGTTGCGCTGACTTGGCCACGTGTGCCATATGTCAGTCGACCGACTTCCTTGAGGGGCACTTTTCGTACAACCATATGGAGGGTGGAAACGAGCTAGTAGTGAAAAAATGACTTGGCAGCGAAGTATGAAAGCCATTACCATCAAAGTCAGTTGCGCTGGTCATTGCCGTCTTCCTGGATGGGGGTCGCGAGAAGAAACATTGTCAGACAAGGTTCAGTCGCGCCCTCAAAGGCACTAGTGCATCCAAGCTATTGCCTTCAATGCATAGCTCCCTTCCCAATCTCCACAGTGAAAAGTCCACTGACAAGCCTGCATTTATGCATCAGTTACATCAGCCGTCACCTCCAATGCGTAACTATCTGCCCCAACTCCCCAAATCATCGGTGAACTAAACTGTGGCGGCTAGAATCACTGCACAGCAAGTACGCGGTTCTTACAGCTGTTGATAATGACGATGAGTAGCCAGTATTTGGGTTTTGCCGTTAGTGTTACGGCTAACTTGAGTGGACTTGTACTCCTCGCACGCTGTTCACACAGCCAAGCTGACGGTGCACCTGATCCCATCATGGATAAAACTCCCAAAACCGGATTTATGCTGTCAGGACATTACGTTTTATGGGAGTTGCAATATCCATGCGAGGGGAATCAGCAACGCAATTCCAAAAAGGCAGGATGCCAATTGCAGTTTTCTGTAATGATCGGGAGAAACTAAAGCTGTCACCTTGTCGGGGAGGTTGGGCTTCTCTGTGGCAACGGTCCAACGGGCTATACTGGCTGGAACTCAGTTCCTTAGAGTTCGACCATGCCAGGAAGGTCAACCGAGAGCAACCCGACAAAGAACTGTGATAAATCGTATCATAAGGCGGTCCGGAGGTAAAGTAGCACTGACCTCTGCAATCAGTATGTCCATATTCGTTCAGGCAGCGGTACTGTCTTCCCCAAAGGGAAGATGGAATCTGAAACTGCACACTCCGATCGCCCAACTGTTGACCGTGACCGCCAGTGTTTTATTCAGTACGACCGAAACACCTTTAGAATCAAAGAGTCCAGTGTTCCTCAAAAGCCACTTGCTGTGTGCAGCCGTATTAAAAAGCATACAGTAATGCCTTACTACCTGCGTCCTCGGGATAGGCAAGTTCCCTTCAGCCAAGGGGCGCAAACTACTGAGTCATTGGCCCGGCAAAGGTCCTTCAGGAAAACCTTAAAAACTGCTGCCTTGTCCGTCGGCTCAAGGTGGGGTACCTCAAACAATCCCTTTTCTTCGGCTGGGCTAACTGGGAAATATCATTCGACCTCGCAGCTCTTCGCGCACCGGCCTTCCCCCACGAACTCTCCCCACTCATCGAGTGATGCAGTGCGACCAACCCATCTGCCAGTCCCCTAACCAGTGTTCGCCCGGAAAAGTAGACCAAAATAACCAATTAATAACCTCAAAAGATCTGATCCATGTTGCAGCCTTTAATGTCTGCAATATACGTCAAACTAAACAACAGACATTTCTTGCCGAAACCTTGCTTTCCCCTTTTGTCGATGTATGTCGATGCATACTAGGTCGCACTTTGGCAGTGCACTTCATGCCATTTTAGACGACCTCATATGTCCTACATTTCACTCTTCGGGTATCTGGTGATCCTGACACAATGGCTCGTGGTATTGACGGTGTTGGAACTGCACTCAGTCCCAAAACTGAAACATCTTTATTGGAATGGATCCCAGTAAACATTTGGCTTTGCTCTGGGTGGTTGCCCGGCCCAATTAAGTTCAATTCAGGTCGATGCGGTAAACTGCAATTGTGAGAATGAGAGGGACAGGTTTAATCAAAATCTGTCACGACCGCTTCGGTCAGTGAAAGGGACGAGTATGGTAAGCCTGGCATGAATGCCCAAGTTGGATGAATAAGTCCGGAAGAAGGCACTCATGTGGTAGAGTTGGAGTCGATGGTCAGTGTACAGATAATGAGGACCGACTGCTTCAGTTGTATGATCACCTTCTGTTCCAGTGCAAACTTCCAGCGCAAGCACTCCCACCGGGTTACTTGGAAGCCAACAACCGCCAGACAATCATGGATGACTATCAGTTACCGACGGAGAGCCTCCATTAAAGATGGCCATTTCTTCTGGGGTAGGCAACTTGACTCCGATCATGACATTGTGCAAGCTCGTTTATCACTTCACTTTCCGTCAAGGATACGCGTGCCAAAACAAAGCAACTTCATTCATCAACTTCGACAGCCTTCGGGAGCTCAGGAGTATCGATCTGATCTGGCTAGAAAGCTATCATGTTGATAACAAAGCTAAATGGAGGCCATGTTCTCAGCTTTCAGAAATAGTCTAACCCACTTGAAGCGACAAAATTAACGCTGGATGTCGTCAAGATCAGCAGATCCTTTTACATCCAGAAAGGACATAAGAGCAGCTAGCGATTGTGATGGTGCACGCGGATCCTTCAGTCACCAGATAATCAGGAGCGTTGGCGGATTTCGAAGGCTCAGGAGATGGAAAGAGCCTTGGCTGCAAGCAATAGCTACGAGCTAGTTCAGGTCAAAAGACAAGTGTGAGAGAAACAATCCGTGAAAACGATGGGACGGCAATTCACTTACAAAATTATCGTCTTGAACGATAGGCTGAACACTTTAAAGAACAGTCCAGCCGACATGTCTCAACACAACTACTGGAAGAACCCAGCATGCCTGAAAGGAACATCGACACCACCGCGCCATCAACAACAGAGATCCAGCGTCAGATATCAATCCTTCAACGCGACCAAGCACCTGGACCGAATGGTCTGTATCCCGCATTCTTCAAAGTTGTGAGGTCCTGGCTAACAGTCTGACGACCATACTTAAGAAGATTTGGAACAAAAACCACACTAGTGAAAGAGAGCCCCTCGACCATCATTCCAGCATTCCAGAAAAGCACAAGAACGTCATGGAAGGACTATCGTGGCATCAGCCTAGTATCCGTCGCATATAAAGTGGTCTCTGGCATTAGTTTGCACAGACTGATCGATTATCGGGAGAGACGGGTTCTTGAGAATTAAGCTAGGTTTCGTCCACGCCGAGAATGCATCAACCACACATTTACCTTGAGATAAGCTCTTGAAAAGCGCAACTCCTTCAAACGTCCCACGTCGGCCGTTTTACTTGATTCGAAAGCTGCTTTTAACTGTCGGCCGTCAGAGGCCGGAGATTTCTGGCGACCAAACGCATCCATTCCAAAGTTGTATCCCATTTGCGAACTCCTGTGGAAACCAAAGAGTATCCAGCAAGATTTCGCCTGATTTCCTCACGTCCAGTAGTGTGAAACGGCCGTCCTCCCTTACCAATCAGCTCCGAATTTGTTATTGATGTGCTGGTTGAAATCCCTCTGCCTGTCTCAGAAGCCTTAGGGATTGAAATGTTCCCGGAGTGTTCGTTCACAGACATTTGGTATGCCAACAATATTGTCCTCCTTGGTTCGGATCCCTGAGAAGTGCGATTCGTTCTAAATCGCCTGAAGGATTCTGCCGCATGGTTTGATTTGTGCTTCACACCTGCAAAGTGTAAAGTTCCGCTACAAGACTGGATGGCATCAAACCCAGATTTCATGCTTGCAGACGAGCCAATTGATGTGGTAATAAAACTGCCCACGTGGATAGTTATGTAAGTTCCGACAGACTGACTGAAGATGTGGTTACTTATCGAATCGAGAAGGCCAGGGCAGTTTTTGCCCACCTCCCTTGATCAACCTCCTCCAACTTGTGGCCATTATTATCGCCAGAAATGGCAACATCAGTTCTGACACTAATACCTCACTGCCGTATGACCATAAACGGTACCTGACTATATTTGAAACCTCAGAATGAAAAGAGTGCATGAGGGAGGAGCGGTGCTGGTCTATCACATGCATTCTGAGGTGTCTGCACTCCCACGCGCTGTCAGACAAACTGAAGAGAAACTAGCACAAGCTCCACTGAAACCGATCAGCCGCTACTTCTTGCAATAGCTCCAAACAAACTCAGGATGGGTGACGGGGACCCATCCTGGAAGGCCGACAACACCCAAACTCTTTCACATCCTTCTGTCAAGTTGTCCACCTCGCGGTTTGCGCCATTCCACAGGGGGCACCCGGTAGACGGTGTTTCGGTGTGCATAGCACATGGCTGAGCCGCCTCAGTTGATGGTGCTGTGTGCTTTCCGCAATTAAAGTACCTGCTGCAGGACACCTGTCGTGTTGATGTGACGTCAATTTGTATATAGATGACGGAAAGTACACTTCGGTGGTGAGACTTACACTGCTCTGTGGACCAGAAACATGGCCCCTATGTGTAGGAAGATGTATGAAAGCTGTCAGTGTTTGACCATCGATGTCTTAGAAGCATTAGCCGGGCCTAGTAAGGACATAAGGTTAGCAATGCTGAGACACACCGGATTGCTTTAAGAAAAAAATGACTCTCTCACAATGGATGAGTTACGCTACATAGGTTACACTGGTTGTGATGTGTACTTCTCATATCAGAAGACTGTCTGCCTCTCAGAGCTTTCGTCCAACTCTATACTGAGTGGAAGCGACCAATAGATGGACAGTGTATGACCTGACAAAGAGGTATGAAAACACTTACCAATAAACTCAGCCGGGTCGAAAGAAACGGCGTCCCTGGATGTGGGGTCAATTTATGGCATGACTCAATCGCGCAGAAACTGGTGGCCATGCATCAAAGTAATAGTCTCCAGTGCGTAGTTACCCAGTTTCCTGAACTAACTTATTGTGCCACCGCTTCCAATGCTTGACAATATCTCCGACGTTTACCTATTTTCTGGTGACCTAAGCTTCAGCAGCTGGGACCAACGGAACCTTGATTTATAGCTGATAAGCTGAACCCAGCTGAACAAGTCTATTGCCAGTCATACGACGTTCGATGTACGCTGGCCGAAGGCTTATCTACAAACCATCCTCACATGCACAGGCCCCGAGAGTTTAGTGTATGCTGTCAAAATAACCTAGTCGTGTATTACATTCTCGGTATGACTCTGATGCGTAGGGTAAACCCATGTACCTGTTGACTACCACCACTCCAACTCGTAAAATAATTCTTCTGAAAATTAAAAAAAGCCGAGGATGAAAATCGGAAATTCGAGGTTTCGAGGTAAAGCGTGCACTATAAAAATAAAGCTCACATTGTAAGCAATCAGTTCGTAGCAGGTGCCAGTACGCGTGCTAGATCCTACGATGTGCAATTTGTATCTAATACAAAGGCTCCAAAATCGGGCGCAAAGGCGAAGGCTGTCGCTGTGAATAGACCACAAACACTATTTCTAGGGCGGTCGTGATGGACGCCATGAAACTCGTCCTATAAAGGCAACTGAAGCCAACCCAACCCCATCATAATGATGTGCGCCTATTCAAAAACTCGAGTGAATACTATCGTATCACCAATTCATCTGGCATTCGCCCGGCGTTCACTATCGCTCCTTTCTGTCCAGTAAACATCCCGATTTCTCGACGGCACTGAATTGTGCTATTAGATGCAACACTTGGGCAACATAATTATTGGTATTATTCCACCTGAACTGTTTCTTCGATGGAGGAATATAACTCGGAGACCCATTGATTCGTTGCCAGTGAAATGTGTTCCAAGGAAAACCTCCCGGTTAGGTAAGCAAGGTTTCAGATCTGACAAAAGAGCATCAAATATGCTAAAAAAAATCATGTGGAAATTTTTCGCGTTCTCCCAGCACGCGTATGATGAGTAGTTGGTAGTATATGAATTAATCCGCAGTGTGCCGGCAAACTATTTCAAGGATAAACCGTATAGATTATGGACTTGCCCTCACCACATGAACTTCAACTGATTTCAGACAACTCAATCCCGATACCCAATAGTTTGACTAAAACGAGTAAGTTGGCGTAGATAGTAAGCCGAAGGTAGTCATTTTGATATTCCAATAATGTTAATTTACACCCATGTCGGACTCAGCCGAGCAACGTACCTCGTCAACCATGGACAACCTTCGGTCACATATGTCTTGAATAGCAGCTAAACAATATACCAACTTGCGTGCTAACAGATTCTGCTCAGCTGCTTGTGAGCGCTTCAGCTCCTCCATATATTTCTCGCACAGTCTCAGAAGGTGTTGGTGCTGCAGATCTGATTGAAGATAAGAGCTTATTTCCGCTTGCATTTGCATTGGCATCATCTGTAACATTTCTGCATAACAACACAAGAACTTCTCTGTCTCCGGTTCAAGCATAACAATGGTTGGAACACAAAACGTCGACCGCGAGTCCGAAAACAAATAGCCTAGCTGACTCAAGGTCAGTTCATCGATACATTTACGGAATCTGAAATTGAAAAGCATGTTTGAGAATTCAGCCATGCTTCCTCGGTCCGGTTCGTTCTCGTCACCAAGTAGCTTCAGTTTAATTGAAGGACACAAACGAATAAATGGAACATCGCCACTCCTATGCTCGGCGCTGGGTAGTAAGCTTGGCATATAGAAGAATTCTACAAAAAACACCCCAAAATGCCTCGAACTTGGATTTAGATTCAGGTTGAACAACCATCGGAGGCCAGTTAGTACATGTACCCAGAGTGATGGGAACTGTGGACTAGAAAGTGTGCTTTCTGGCCTTAAAAATCTTCTTGCCACATCCTCGCCGATTAATAGTTAGATCAACGGTACGCATTCTCGGGGCATGGGTTCAAACACCTGAAAGCCTGCTTCACATTCACTGAATTGGAAGCCAAGTACCTTCATTGCAACTGCTCATTGGGCAAAATCAATTATCACTACAACGAAGCTAAAACTTGGCTACCGCAATCAATAAGCGGTTTGGTGTTGGCCCCATTGAGTGCCTGCAAGCTCATGCGAGTAACACGGAAGGGAGATAGCCGGATCATCAGTTGAACGACGGATAACGTTGGTGCCGATTTGTCATGGTGGATGGACAAGAACAAGTTTTATAGAAACCAGATGCCCAAATTATTTTCGGTATCTATATTCAAAATGTCTCAATACACGTCAAAAGCTTCTGCTGAGTTTCTCCCGAAAGACATATGGATGCACTTCTCGTCTTCGGAGAAAGACATGAGCCCAATAGCCACTGGTGTGCCGTGTATATATGTATGTATATATATGATGATTATCCGAAACTCCAGTGCTTATCCGTAAAGGGTGCGTTCAGCGAATGCACTTTCAAAAGGAAATTAAGCATGCAAGAAACATGCTCCAAGATGGTACGATAGTGGTCAGATAACTGGACAGAATTCGTGTTTGGCCAGGCTCAGAACCACCGTTATTGGGCGATGCATCAGTGCTACTGGAGGGGTGGCGGGCATACGAGCGCACCATTGTGCAACGTAACATGGCGACCCCCTCTGCAGGGCGTACCCCTGCTACACGAGGTTATCATACCTCGTGCATGCTACCAGATCTGCAAGGTGGGAAACCATTTAGGCAGTTATAAATGCGGTTTGTGCATCAATAAATGCCCCAGCTACCGATTTTTCTCTGGTCGGGGGAAGGCAGGGCCAGTGAAGTCAGCTCAGTCAATTCGAGCAAGCAAACAGCAAACGGACGCTAGTAAGGGCTAGTCACGGATGGGAAGTGAAATTACAGCTGCCAAAGAGACAGTGGGAACGAAATGGTGATACTCATGATGAGTGCACCATCGTTAAACGGCGTCGGAGCACTGGTGTGAGCTAGCGTGTCGAGAAGAAGCGCGCCGCAATGTTGTGTGTGAGTGCTTAGTGGGGCAAATCATCGGATGGATATACATAAGCGCAGAATGCGCTCTGGTACGGAAGAAAAATCTGACTTTGTTTTGGTTTTTACCAGTTAGAGTAAGGCTGAAAGCACCAGTCACTAGATAGGGCTGATAGAGTAATCCGGAGTAGGGATTTGATTAGGACGATGTATAGGTTGGCTGGGGAAAAACATAAACAACCAGGCTAGTAACAGCATATTTAGATTTAGTAGGCGCTTAAGTAATACAGTAACTTGAAGGAAAACCTGCTAACTCTGGTTTGGTTTTCGTCAGTAGAGTTCGGCCGAGGACAACAGTCGTCAGTTGGGAAAGCGGAAAAAAGAAGACATCCAAGCCAGTAACACCGCATATTTAAATCAAGTAGGCATTTAAGTCTTACATTAGCTTGAAGCGAGTCAAGAGGATAGGAAGAAAAGTTAACAGGATCCTTTACTTGCCCACTAACTGTAATGTGGCTAAACTCAAATTCATACTGGACTCGATTCGCAGAGAAGGTCGCCGGCGGCTAGAAGCACACCCAAAATAACTCTGAAACCGTGGTTCGAAGGAGGAGAACTTTAACATAAAGTTTTAAAATTTGATGGTAATTTTTCGGGCGCATGAGATCTTCCCGAACGGCCGAAGTTTTGTTGAAAGTCGTTTAAACCCACTCAATTCCCCCGATATTCAAGGCCCGCGATATTCATATTTTAATGGCTGCTATGGCTGAGCACGTGAATTCGGAGGATGATTTTATGAAGAATTTAGCTTGCCAGTTTTTTCTCATCCAGTGCTATCAAGGATGTGCGTAGCTTTTGCGTCAAATGTCGACCCCCATTGTTAGGAAGGTCGTTGGTTAACTTTTAGTCGGCTTCTTAGATGACATGTCCATCGTAGCCAAGTTTCGAGAGTGCGGTCACGTGCTGCTGGTGGAATCGGAGGGTGGCAGATAGGGTCACCTGTGCTTTTCTCGAACGCAGCAGATAGCACTCTTTAGACGTTTCCCGGACGTTATAAACGCTGATGCTACACACAGGACTAACCGTCTTGGGTAAATGAATTTGGAGCCCCTGACGTTCGCTGTTAAGTTACAAGCTTTATACATTCCTTGATCGGTTGGTTGGCAAACGAAAGTTGCTGGAACCGCGTAAGGCTGCTGGGTGCATGAAGCGTCTGGTTGTCCAATGCCAGTTGATTTTGCGTCAAAATTCGATTAGTGCACAGGACAATCAGCCTCTGGTGTTGAATGGCAACAGCAGCCAACCACGGTGGCGTTCGACGTCAAACGACGCTGTTCCCTGTGGTCTCTGTGGCCAGCCAACTGACCCTGCTGATTGGTGGTGTCAACGTGATCGACTACCATATCACCGTTATTGCTGCGGCAGTGAGCCCTGCCCGCTGTGTGGAGAAAATTTTCAGGCGCGTCCACCAGGTAAGTGCACATGCATCAATTAAATTATTCCCATTAGTTGCCGGTCAGTCTACCTACCGGTCAGCTAAAAGAGCTTGTTTTGATGTTGATCTTGATCGGTCCATGGAGGACAAGCCGAGTCTGCCCCGTAAGACAGTCACAATAAAACTGTTTTGTCCAATTTCGGAGTTGAAGGAGACCGGTAAGTTGAGGCCCAATTTCTTAGCATACGCTTTTTAGACCGTGCTTTCGAATCCTGTGATGATGAGGAATTTGTTTGATTGTAACTCGAAGGCCTCAAATGCCGAATCAATGAACCCATGGCAATCCGCTACGACTATACATTTATCCCTCATCTCGGTAATGGGAATTATGAACCATAAGGTAAGCAAACAAATAAAATTCAATTACATCCAGATGCTTAAGTGCTGTTCCCGAAGGTTAATTGCTTGCCCATTTTCCGTTTCAGAATCCTTGTCCCGTGAAGTGGATCTTAAGAAAATAAAAAATGGGGCGACTATCAGTTAAGCTTGTATCAGTGACGCCAATCAATAAAATGCAATTCGCCAATGGTGTTTTCGTAAATTCATGGCGGGCGCATTATCAAAGCGAGCAGTTATGAATATGGAGCTAAATTCATGGTGAGCGCATTATCAACGCGTGGAGTTATGAGTATGGAGCGCCGTCGTTGGTCGTTGTATTACGTTGCCGTGCATAGGTGAGGCCCCATAATCTGCGTCGCGAATAGCAGTTACGCTAAGTAGTCCAGGTGAGCGACAGCTCATTCTTTCGGGTAATGGAGGGATTGGTCGAGGGGGTACAATCAAGAGTAGGAGTTTGGAGTGCGCTGTCAAAATGGGTGGTGATTGCAGTTTGACAGGTGATGACCACCGTTGATCGTTGGGTTAGTCTATTATGTGTTGCCGGGGCATTACGGTTAGCTAGGTAGGTGGCTAGGTAGCCACCGTAGGTTCCGTCGACTACAGTTGTGATGTTTACTGAAGGTAGCAAACATAAACGGCATCGAATAAGTATGAGTATGACGATAACTAGCCAAGTAAGATGACTTCGAGTATGGTTGTGAGTATAACAGACTGTCAGATTATGCTATCACCTATAGTTGAGTCCTTGTTTTTACCGGTCGGCATACATATTGGATCAATGTTTACTGTAGGTAGCGAAGATACGCGGTATCCCTTATAGTTAAGGGTATGAAAGACCGTCAGCTTTATACTCAGTGTTGCACATAGACACAGGTGTTGCAATTACGATAAGCAGCCAAGGTAGGCGATATCATCTGCAGTTACGAGTATGACGGGCAGCCGTTGGTCGTTAAGATGTCACGCATCGTTGGAACCTGGTTTCTATCGGCCCACATAGATACTGGCTTGGTGATTACTGTAGGTAGCAGGCATGTACGGCAGTGAAGATCGGTGTTTAACACTGATTTCATGCTCTCCATGATGATATAAGTAGCAGACATAAGTGAGAGCGCGCACATTTATGGGTATGACGGGCCATCGTTGGCAGGTAAATCAGGACACTTCGCATAGCTGAGGCCTACTAAACAGCTTCGCATATAGGCACTGGCCTAGCAGTTTCAATAGGTAGTCAAGTTAGGCGATATCGCGTAGAGTTTTGAGTATTAGGTCTATCATTCACCATTAAATTAGGTACGCATGCACAAGGACACTGACTCAACAGGTACGATCAATAGCTAAGTTAGATGACTTCGAGTACAGTTGTGAGTATAACAGGCTGTCAGCTGTGGCTATCACGCATAGCTGAGGCCTTATTTTTACCGGTCGGCATATATATTGCACTGATGTTTACTGTAGCTAGCGAAGACATGTGGCATCGCGTATAGTTAAGGGTATAAAAGACCGCCATTGACCATCGGATTATGTTACTGAGCATAGGTGCACGCTCATTATCAACGTTTCACATAAACGCGGGCCTAGCAGTTACAGCAGGTAGTCGAGATGAGTGAAAACTAGTAGCGATACGAGTACAAGGGGCCGTCGTTGCTCATTGGATTGGGTTGCCGCGCATATGCGGGAAACCGTAATTCGCGTCGCACATAGACACGGATCCAGCAGCTACAATAGGTAGTCGAGGTGAGTGAGAGCGGCTACCGTCATCGAGGTGGCCGCTTTATGGTGGTCACCAACTCTAGAACGTCATAGTAATAATAGGAAAGACGCCCAGAGCTATCTCGTAACACTGTATTATCTACAAGCTAGTTAGGCCCTCGCACTGACACTGGAAGTTTGTGCTGTTATCTAACTTTATTGCACTTAATGGAATATGAGATCCATGAGGAAAATGTGTTGTGAG